TGTGGTCTTCGGTTCCCATCAGCCCTGGCCAGCATAGTCCATGATTATGGTGTCAGAAGCTTTAGGCCAGATGATCTGATGACCTGGGTTTTCGTCTTGCCTCTCCCTGTTACTGAACCTCCAAAGTGCTTTTGACAACTTGTCAACTCTGAGCTTGCATTACAGTCTCCCCAAGACTGGGGCCCTGCAGATTTTGTTGAACTTCAGCTCCCGCTGTCTCTGATGGTATGTTGGCTGGGGATGATGGGAGGAAGATATAGTCCAATAGGTGTGTAGAGCTCTCCTTTGGGGAAGAGCAACATAGTGCTTCCAAAAGTCTCTTTGACCATAGTTTCAGAGCAACAGGCACCAGACCTCCTTAGGGATGTGCAAATCAGCAAAATGCGAGCTCGCCAGATTCCATCTTAAAACTCATTCCAACCTGAGGCCATAGTGCCTGATAGCTTTTTTCCCTTTTCATATGAAAATCGGTGCCCACTTTCATGCACATTTTCCAAATAACTGCATCGGAAGTTCACATTTTTGAAGTGTATACATGTTCTCCCATTGAGCAAACACCTTTGTGTCCCTTCCTATAGAGTATGCATTTGTTTCATGCACATTTCTCGAATCAGTGAGTGCTTCCAGATACCTCCTTTTTCTTTTTTGTCCATGAGCCACACTGCAGGTTGCATCCGAGTGTGTATATGGTCCAGAAGATGCAGGCAATGAAATCCTGGTCAGAACTGACCTGAAACTAATTTCTCATAGACTGTATATTGGCTTAAGTTCTTAGGTATCATCTCGCCCTCCTGAGGGAAACTTGGTTGAATGCTAACATGTGAAGAATTCTAGGAGAGTTTTTCCTTATAAGGTTTCCTGCCTTTTCCTTAAACTCTGCCATCTTCTTCTCTCCATACCCCAAGAGATGTAATTTTGCCTTCTGCAGCAAACTATGTGTTGCATTTTGTCCTCGTTAAGCCTCCTTAAAGGAATGAATCAGAAAATGGCATCCTGCTGCAAACCAACACATTTCAGAGGGGCGACCTACAGAACTCCTTCATACTTTTACCATTCTTATCTCAAAACTCTGCAATGTTCATTTCACTTCTAGCTGTCCAGCACAATAAGGCACAGTATTAAAAGGAAGATACTGCTTAGAAAAATCTGCTCTAGGATGAACCAAGACAGTGTTCTTGACAACTAAGCATTGCAGTCTTATTGCCTTTGCAAACGTTTATAAACTACAAGAGGCCAAAGCCAGGATATCATAGAATCACAGAATAGTAGTGTTGGAAGGGGTCAGGAAGGCCATCGGGTCCAACCCCCTGCTGGTGCAGGACACCGATTTCCACCCTCCCACTCAAATATGTGCAGGGTGCATATGTGTGCACAAGGATCAGTTACCCCGTTTTGATCCCTTCTGGGGGACATGGAATTTTTCTACTTCGGGCTGCAACCAAGTTTGTACATGTGTGACCACACAATGTGATCAGCACGCTATATTTTGGCAACATAATTTTTGGCATACAACTTGGATGACAAGTTGGTTACTTGGCCTAAACCTCCTCACATCATGCAGAAAGAAACCTGGGCTGGTTCCAGAGAATCCCAGATTCCTGATGCATGTGCTTGTCCCGTACATATTTGCATTCACATGTTGTTTGGGGAGTGTACAGTTTAAAAAATACCTTAGGTTTACCTATGAAAGAGTAAAATGTGAGGTGGTCCTGGAATGAGCCAGAAAAATGATACACCAGCTGAAAGAGAGAAAGGGATTGGGTGGATTTCGTGCAATTTGGAAATGCCTGAGATTTAAAAAATGCATTGATGTTACATAAATCTACTTTGTAGAATAACAGGAAGGAGTTTCAAGGAGTAAAAAAGAGGCAGCTTCTAAAATTAGAAACAAGGAAAATAATAGAGGGAATTCAGGAAATGGGGGTGCATCTTTTCTGTGCTAGGTGGTCCCTAGACAGTTGCAAGAGAATGCGCAGCCCCGCCTCTGGCTCTGTGGCTGGGCTCCAAATTGGGAGCACCTTTCTGCTAATGTTGAGACTCTTTCCATGCCCAGTTCAGTTCCGAAGACACAGTGCAACTTCAGAGCCAGCACAGGGTGAGGAAAAGGCCACAGCTCAGGGGTCCCTTACCATGTGGGAGGAGCACAGGGGCAGTTCTCTCCTCCCGGACTGCTCCCAGTCTTGATTAGATACCTGCAATCCTTCAAGTTTAAGGGATGCCATTAGTTTATCATTTCTTAGGTCGGAGTTTATTCTGCCTTCGAGGAGAATTCCCCATGCTGTTAAAAATAATAGCATCAGCAACACTGCAATAACACATCCTAACATAGAAACAGAGCGAGTCAGAAGGGGTCTCCCGGGCCATCTAGTCTGACCCCCGGCTCCAGCCGGCTCCACTCACAACATGCCCACCATGTGCATGTCCAGCCTATCCTTGAACACCTGCACCGATGGGGCTTCAACCACCTCCTGCGGAAGCCCATTCCACACCCTCGGAGTCCTCACTGTCAGGAAGTACTTCCTGGCATCCAAATGGAACCTTGGCTCCCTGAGCTTTGCTCCGTTTGAGTACGTCCTACCCTCCTCTGCAGGGGAGAACAGGTCTCTACCCACCTCCGTGTGACATCCCCTCACATACCTGTATGTTGCCAACATATCCCCTCTGAGTCTCCTCTTCTCCAGGATGAAAAGGTCCAGTTTCCCTGCAAACCGGCCACCAACCTTGTGGCCCTACGCTGCACTGACTCCAACCTGGCTATATCCTTTCTGTAATGAGGGGCCCAAAACTGAGCACAATACTCCAGTTGCGGGCACACCAGAGTCATATAGAGTGGTAGCAATACCTCTCTCAATCCAGAAGCCACACTTCTGGCTATGCAACCAAGGGTGGCCACCTCATCACACCGCTGACTCATGTTCAGCCTGCAGTCAACCAGCACCCGAGGTCCCTTTCACAAGTGCTGCTCTCCAGCCACTTGTCCCCTAACCTGTACTTATGACCCCCATTCCTATGCCCCAAGTGCAAGACCTTGCACTTAACCACATTGAACTCCATCCTGTTGTCTCCTGCCCACTGTACATATTGTACAATAAAACTTGTAATTGGATGGGTCACAGCTCAGGGAAAATAGCTGTACTGGATGACAGCTTCAAGGGCTGAACCAAAAGCTCAGCTCTCCGGTCAGAGCAAATAGAGTTGCTTTCTTCTGGATAAATAGGGTTGCTTCCTTTGTTTTGCTGAATAACAGAAAAAGATGACCTATTTGGGAGGGGAAGGGAGATAAGTTATGCCTCCAAGGAATCAGAATGAAGGATCTTGGTCCAAAGATAAGCTCCTGCTGCGCCATTCACACATCCGGGGACAGTTGCAAGCCCAGTAAGGGAGCATCTTTTCCCCATGATGGACAGACGCGTTTCAGAAATGCTTGGCAAAGGGCACGTGAGAAACAAGGCTCTGCAAACCTTGCACATTTCCTCCTGTGATATTGTTCTTGAGATCCTTTCCTGGAAATGAACAATGACAATATTAAGCAGAGAGAAATAGAAATGGGCCAATAGCGCCGGGGCGGCTCCCCCTCCGTCTAGCTGACTTCCTCGATTCCATTCCATTCAAATGCGCAAGTGCATCGGATCGCTGGGTTGGTCCCGTGGAGTGATGCTTTTGGCTCAAACCCTTGCTCACGATGCCCATGCCCTTGCCCATGTACGTCGCACCTTCTCCGCAGCCTTTCCTGAGGGTGGTGGTGTCTTGGGATGCAAGCATTCACCCCCAGGGCTGCAATTTGCCAAGGCAGAGCTGAAAGAATCGCGGGGATGGTTCTGCCTTCCAGAGGAGGCACCACGTGGCTTCCGCAGGGGAGCAGCTCTTGTCCTCTTTTCTCCACTCCTCTGAGCTGGAAAGCATGTGCCCAAAAGAAGCTCTTCCCAGCAGAAGGAGCCCATCCCTTTCAACAAGCTGCGAGTGAAATAACAGGATCGCTTTATTTCTTTTGATAATGAATTTCACCAAGATGAGACCAAATCTAAACAAAGAAAAAAAAAGCAATTATATACATAAATATCTACATAACTGCATAAGTTCAAATTAAATAATTATACTCACACTTCAACAAAAGGCAGAGCAGATATCCATGTCTGTATGTCATTTGCTCAAATACTCTGCGTGTTGTTAGGTCTTCAGTCCTTTGCGGTGTATTAGTATCCTTCCAGCACTGCAGTGTTGGTCTTTCTCCTGCCAAGAGTTCTCACTGGGCTGTGGGGAAAGAGACACCTTGCAGTTTCTCCCTGAAACCTTTGTCTGCCTCCATAGACCTAGAGTTCCCCACCACCACCCTTTGGGCTATAATGTTGCCATTGTTCACCAGTTGATATTCCTACGAGAAGACAAAGTTAATGAGGACTGTTATGGAAGCTACCTTGGGATTCCCAGCAGGAAAAAAGGCAAGATATAAACGTAACAAAATCAATCAATCATGGTGGTGGTAACAATACGACACCATTCAAAATCTCAAAGGATGGGGAGGTCCTTCCTCCATGCAGTTTACACTCTAGGAAACAAAAGGAGAGTAATTAACGAAGCTGTGCTGAGCTCCTTCAGGGATTGCTGAATATAAGCAGAATTAGTAATAACGATGCTTTAAATATGGCTGTTCTGTTTTTATTTCTGGTATTTAACAGCGTGTTGGTGATGGTTTTCTCTCAAAGAGGGTTGAGTTGGGTTGGGTTGCTTGAGTTGGGTTGGGTTTGCTTTGGTTTGGGTGGGTTGGGTTGAGTTGTTTTGCTTGGGTTGAGTTGGGTTTCTTTGGTTGGGTTGGTTGCATGGGTTCTGTTGGGTTGCTTTGGTTGGGTTGGGTTGAATTGGTTTGTTTGGGTTGGGTTCCTTGGATTTGGTTGGGTTGGGTTTGCTCTGGTTTGGGTGGGTTGGGTTGGTTCTTAAGCATCAATACTAGCCATGGAAAAGTATATTTTATCATTCCTCTTCTTAATATTTCTGCTTTATAGCTACCTCGACAGCTTAGATCGAATTGGAGCTGCTGACTACCAGCCAACAGAGCAAGATATCCTTCGGACCAGGGTCAAAACCACTGGCATTGTGGAAACCCATTTCACATTCAAGAACCTCCATTTCAGGTGAGTGAGATCAAGAAGTGATGTGGCTGCAATTCTGCCCGTGCGCCCCTTGCATGACTGCAGTTCTCCCGCTCGAACAGGCAGCAGCCTTTGGCTTTCACCATCACACAACACAGACGCAAACCTTCCAGTCTGAAGGAAGCCTCTGCACTTGTGCTCTAAATGTGAAAGCTTGCAAAATTGTGTTTAGTTATTACTGTTGTTGAAGTGCCATGATATTTGCAGGATGAGGGAGCCTTCCACATTTTGGGGGGCAATGCAGACCTTATCCTGTGGGCTTATCCAGGCTTCTGTGGGCAGCAGTTCCCTCAAAAGAGCATCTGCTGCAGATCTTGATCCTTGGGTGTGGCATATTCGTGGCACCAGCCCATTGAGACAAGGACTGCCTTAGACGACCAGAACCTGAGTCCACTATAACTTTAAAGGCTGAGATCAACACCTTGAATTGAGCCCAAAAAACAACTGGAAGTCATTGCAGGAATTCAGAACTCGAGCCATACCAGTTCATGGCCTAGCTAGTACATTTTGCACCAGTTAGAGCTTCCGGACATACTTTAGGGCTAGCCCCAAATCAGGTGCATTGCAGTACCCTAAATGTGATGCAACAAAGTCATGAATGACTGTTTGGCCTCTGTGTTCTCCCCAAAGCAGGACGGGGGTGATGCGCATCGATTAGATGAGGCCGGGGACTTAGGGGCACAGATTAGAGTCACACCCCTAGAAGTCGAGGGGCTCCTCAGGGCATTGGACATTACAAAGGCACCAGGCCCTGACGGGTTGCACCCGAGAGTACTTTGAGAGTTGGCAGGGGTTCTCTCACGCCCGCTGGCCTCCATTTTTGAGACCTCGTGGAGAACAGGTGAAGTTCCAGAGGACTGGAGGGTGGCATCAGTGGTCCCAGTTTTCAAAAAGGGTAGTAGAAAGGACATGGGGAATTATAGACCGGTTAGCCTTGCGTCCATTGTAGGAAAAACAATGGAAAGGCTCATAATAGAGAGAGATCTAGCGATGCTAGATAGAGAAGGGAGGCTGGCAGCCACACAACACGGCTTCCACAAAAACAGGTCCTGCCAGACAAACCGTGTGGGATTCTATGACAAGGTTTCGAGGTGGCTAGATGGAGGGGATGCAGTGGATGTGGTTTACCGGGATTTCAGCAAGGCCTTTGACAAAGTGCCCCATGATATTCTGGTTGAGAAACTGAGGAGTTTTGGGATACACCAGAGCACTGTCTGATGGATCAGGGCATGGTTGACTGACCAAAAGCAGAGGGTAACCATTAGTGGGGAATCATCAGGATGGTGGCCAGTGACAAGCAGGGTCCCCCAGGGCTCTGTCCTGGGGCCGATCCTGTTTAATCTTTTCATTAACAACATGGAAGAAGGGGTGAACAGTCTGCTGATCAAATTCGCAGACGACACTAAAACTGGAGCAGTGGCCACAACTGAGGAGCAGGTACTCCAGATCCAAAAGGATCTGGACAGGCTGTGGAAGTGGGCAGGAGACAACAGGATGGCGTTCAATGTGGATAAGTGCAAGGTCTTGCACTTGGGGCATAGGAATAGGTGTCATAAGTACAGGTCAGGTGACAAGTGGCTGGAGAGCAGCACTTGTGAAAGGGACCTTGGGGTGCTGGTTGACTGCAGGCTGAACATGAGCCAGCCATGTGATGCGGTGGCCAAGAGGACGAACACCACCCTTGGTTGCATAGCCAAAAGTGTGGCTTCTAGGTCGAGAGGGGTATTGCTACCACTCTATACGACTCTGGTGCGCCTGCAACTGGAGTATTGTGCTCAGTTCTGGGCCCCTCATTACAGGAAGGATATAGCCAGGTTAGAGTCAGTGCAGCGTAGGGCCACAAGGTTGGTGGCCAGTTTGCAGGGGATGGGGTATGAGGCGAGACTGAGGGAACTGGGTCTCTTCAGCCTGGAGAAGAGGAGACTCAGGGGGGATCTGTTGGTGACATGCAAGTACGTGAGGGCGTGTCACATGGAGGTGGGTAGAGACCTGTTCTTCCCTGCAGAGGAAGGCAGGACGCGCTCCAACAGAGCAAGGCTTAAGGAACCAAGGATCCATTTGGATGCCAGGAAGCACTTCCTGACAGTCAGGACCCCGAGGGTGTGGAATGGGCTTCCACGGGAGATGGTTGAGGCTCCGTCGGTGAGGGTGGTCAAGGATAGGCTAGACATGCACATGGTGGGCATGTCATGAGTGAAGCCGGCTGGATCCAGGGGTCAGACTAGATGGCCCTGGAGGTCCCTTCTGACTCGCTCTGTTTCTATGTTTCTATGATTAAGTCAGACCAATCCAGGAAAGTCACAGCTGGTGCACCAAGTGTGCAAGCACACTCCTTGTTAGCACAGCCACCTGAAGATCTCCCAGACTTTGAACTTGACCCTTCAAGGGGATCACTATTCCTGCCAGGACAGGTTCTGTTCCTGCACTCAAGTTAGGCTTTGCACTCACCAACAATCCCTCCATCTAGTCAGTGGTTAACTCAGCTTGTTCACCCTCATCCAGCCCCAACATTCGAGGGTTTCAGCTATTTCCAATAGAAATGGATGCCACCAGGATATTGGTGGCACCTTCCTCCAAAGCGCCAGATGGTTGCTTCCAGTGCTTTCATGTAGATAATACACAGCACAGACAGCAGCAGGGAACCCTGTGGGACACTGTAGGCCAGTGGTCACAGAGTCCAGCAGGAATCCCCCAACACCTCCTTCTGGATGCGGACTGACAGAAAGGACCCGAACGACTGCGAAGCAGCATCTCCAAGTCCTGTCCCTGCCAGGTGATTCAGAAGGGATCAAAAGCCTCTGCGAAATCCTGGGGAGCTAATACAGTCTTACTCTTCACACCCCTTTCCCAGCTGAGGTCATTCACCAAGGGGACCAAAGCAATACCAGTCCCATTTTCCAGATGGAGGCCCAATGGGAATGGATCCAGATTATCTTCCATCCAAATATATCTGGAGCTGCAATGCTCCTTAGCTAATAATACATTGTGTTCACTTATTCATTTATTATTTGATTTATGTGCCACTGCACTAGCCAGAAGCTGTGTGGACAGCTTACATCATGAGACTTGAGACAGGTCTAGCATTAGACAGGTTTCCCAGGCCGGGAGTGCATTGATGAAAGTCTCATTACTGCTTCTTTTAAGCAAAAGGGAAGCAACCCCTTTGCACAAAGAGGCTGGCATCATTTGCAATGTCTTCAGCACCAGTCAAAATGTGGCCAATTTAATCAGACAAGAAGGTCGCTGTTTGAGGACACAGCTCTGGCCCTCCTCACCCCACATCCCCAGGATCCGAAACTGAAAAAGATCCAGTGGAATTAAAGAAGCTTCTCAAGATGTTGAAAACCCATACAGCTTTCCTCCAAGAAGTAACCCTGCCGATTTCAGTTCTGAATAATATATATGAACCCACAGGAATCCTGTGAGACGGTCTTTTTCAAAGATTCCTGCAGGCACTTGTATAAATAATGACCTTTGAAGAAGGCCTGCACATGGAGTTCTACTTCTTGGACTGAAGCTACATATTTTTTTAATATCCTGGGTCTTTGTCTCCTTGTTCAATTTTGGATGTTTTGCTTGACCTTGAAAAAACAAAATAAGAGAACTAGACAATCCGTTGCTGAGGTTACATTGCTCTGACCTGCTCCAATATTGGAGCCCAAGTCCGGATGAACCCAAGCAAAGAACAAGACGGAAGATTCAGAGTGAGCGCACCGGCTGGTTCCCTCTCCCCTGTCAAAAGAGACCTTGCACTGCATGGAGAAGCATCACTGGTCCCTGCCTAGGCACACGTCTGTAAATGGTCCTTCACCCATGTTGAATCAGGTTATCTTCAGTTCTTCTCCAACAGTGCTGTAGCTGACACCCCTCCTGCTTTGTGGCCCTCAACCTAAGCCAGGGCGCTGGCCTGTCCCCATCAGAAGAACTGGGGTTCTTGGGAGCAGGATCTGCAGCATCCCAGATCCCATTTCTGTATCCCATTTCATTTCTGCCACCCCATAGCCCATAGGGTTCTCTGGGTGGCTTACAGTATGTATGTATGTATTTAAAACATTTGTATGCCTGCCCAATCGTGCCACAGCACTATACACACACACACACACACACATGTATATATAAAAAATACAATAATACATTAGAGCAATATAATCAAGCATTGCAATATTTAACTGTAAGCAATATAAAATCAAAACAAATCTTAATACAATATTATAATACATAATGCAATATATAACATCAGTACATGGTACAATGTAATACATAATGCAATGAATAATATCAGTGAGGATAAGATACAGCTATAATCCCTCCCACAGGCAAAGTCCAATGACCCATCATTGCAGTTAAAGAAACGCAGCCGCACAGCCCCGTATGGGTTACACAGCATGCAACAGAGGCTCACCAGAAAGGGCCTAGTCTCCAAGGCCTCACTCAAGATGGTACCTGCTCCTAGCCGGTTCCTCGTGAAGTGTCTCTCCCCTCTCCCGCCTCCTTGACTGCCGTTTCTCCCACAAACCACAATGCCAACCGAGGTCAAGCTGGAGCACACGAGTGGGAGCGCAGGTGGCCCCCATGCTGGTCTGCGGCAGGCGGGAAGCAGTGGTGGAAGCGGCAGGCAGGTGGTGTCCCACAGATCAGCCAGGGCATCCCAAAAATACGAGGCAGGAAAATTCCCAAGTGCATTCAGGAAACCTTTGAGTCCCTACAGGACGTCCATGAGGTCCACTCTAACCCATTCTCCTTATTTCTCCCTCAGGCTCTTTGATGTTGGAGGCCAGCGGTCAGAACGTAAGAAGTGGATCCACTGCTTCGAGGATGTCACAGCCATCATTTTCTGCGTCGCGCTGAGTGGATACGACCAGGTGCTCCATGAAGACGAAACTACGGTGAGTTTTCCCTGGGCTAAAAAGCCTCTCAGATGTGCTTTCCTGCTTGCTGCGTTTGGTCCGAGCTCACCTCACAATCCACAATCAGTTCATAGACCAAAAGGATCTAACAGATAATACTTTGCTACTCACACGTCTTCCTTTGACTCTTAAATGCTACGAAGATTTCCAGTTCTACCACCAGCAGTTGGATTAAGTCTTCCATTCACCAGGACAGCTTTAGCACAGGTAACACAAGCACTTTCCACTCTTTGTACTGGTCACATATTTGGCCAGAAATCCATTCTTTTTTTCTCTCTGGTTATCCCAAGCCACGTGTCCCCTGGTGCAGAAGGGGCTTCTTTGGACAACTTCTTTAAAATAGTAATAACCCCAAAGAGTTGTTACTCTTGTTGTTTTGCTCAGGGAGAACGTGCAAAAACGAGAAGGGTGTGGTGGGTGGGAAGCTGGGTAGCTTCTTGTTCCAGGTTGTGTACGGTGGGCAAAAGAAGCAACAGAGAAGCACAAAGAAAAATCTTGGGTGAATGTGAGTTGGACATGAGTGAGTGAAAGCGTACACAGAGTTGTTCTTTTATTATTGAGTAGTTTCACGTGATCATCCCAGAATCTTGGATTTGGCCTCTAGGCTTGATCTAAACCCTGGGAGCTGGTGAACAAAAAAGGTGCTACAGACACACACACACGCGCGCGTACGTACGTACATATTAAATACATACTGTAAAAAACCTCAGTTGTATTGCATTGTATTGAACATGAATAGCCAATTCAGCGAACTAAAATTAGTGCTTGTTGAAGCTTGCTTGTTCCCAAATAGCTGCTAGTTTTGGGGAACTTCTTAGGGGGGTTCCCCCTGGAGGGGCCTCTTGTTCACAAGCTGTTCATGCACACATCATGCGACATGGCAGGCCAACGCTGGGGAGAAATGATTATGCCAGTGCTGATTTTCCAGTCTGGTCTGGAAGATTGTGTCATTACTGTGGATTAACATTCTTTGCTGACCACAACATTCAGGGGCTGGTAAGGAATTCCTGACCTGGTGAAACTGCCATTCCTACTAATCTTGTTTTTCCTCTTTTGGTGTGGAATAAAATGAGGGCTGCATGGCCATCGTTTTCTGGGCTGCTGTGAATCCACTCTCTTTTCGTTCCAATTCTCAATTCTCGGAAATGTTTCTGCTGTCATCCTTCTCCTTTTCCACATCCTTGTTCTAGATGGAATTCCTGCCCGGGATAGTCACAAAATGGTTTTCCTTGGTTTTCATGACACCAACATTGTGCAATCCCACTGCCTCGTTCACGAAATTTTAAGCAAGCCAAGATGGCCTCCTCTTTCGTTTGTAGTCCCTCCGGTGCTTCCCCAGAGCATCTTCCACCTTTCCTCTCACACGCATTCCCATAAAGTGGGGAAAAACCAAATTGCTGCAACCTGCTTTTTGACTGTTAGTGCTACGAGCTCTCCACCTGGAAGCTTCCGATCCCTCCTAAGACTTGCATAGCAATGTTTCAAAACCCTTAAAAGAGGAAAACCAGCGCGTAGGCTGAAAGCAGGAGGGACTGGAGAAGGCAGCTCTCCAGCAGAAGCTCACCGCCATTGGAAGATCAAATGAACTGTTGGCGTGTCCTCACATCCGAACTATCTGTATTGTGGTTGCCACTGTGTGGGCCTGGCCCAGAGTGCACTGAAGCTGCTTTAGACCAGCCTTGTGCCTCCAGATGCACTTGGACTGCAACACCCAGAATTCCCAGCCGATGGCCCTGCTGGATGGGAATTCTGGGGGATGGGGTCCAATGCTTCTGAAGGGCAGCAGGTTGGGGAAGGCTCCTTTAGAAACAAGCCCTTATTTAGCCAGCACTGCTCTTGCTCGCGTTGGCAACCCGATTTCCACCCTGGTGATCGACTTTGTTTCTAACTGAAATAGATCCTAAGTTTGGTTGCCTGTTTAGAGTCTGTGTAAGATGAAGCAGCGAGCACCTGGGTGTCGTTCTGGCCTGTAATAAGCCAGCGTCTTTCCAGAATGTGTGAGTGCGTGGGATGAATTGCAGCAAAGAAAAGTTCACCCTGTGCCGGCCTGGAGAAGGGTTCTGTGACGCTGCTGTTCCCCACTTTATTGTGGCATAAGCACAAGCAGACCCGGGCACCTGCAGGGCCTACCTTGGGGTTGTTTGTTTGTTGTTTGGGCCCCAGTGCAAATGCTCAAGCTTGTGGGCCAGTTCTGTGGCCCTCAAAGGATCCCCAGATGGTGACCCGCTCCCCCCAGCTGCAAATCATTCGGTGGTTTCCTGGCTTTCTGTGCAGTTTTTCTGCACATTCTAGTTCAGGAGCTTAGCAGGGGAAGCGTAAACTGCAGTGTGCTGATATGTCTGTCCCACTCCTTTCACTTTGGTCCTGCCCATCACTGGATGCTGCCCTCTTCCCCAGAGAGTCTCTCAGCTGAATTTGGCCCTCGACTGAGAGGTTGGCTACCCCTGAACTAGATCCTTCTGCAGAAGTCTACACCAAGGAGTCTGGTTTGGGTAGGAAAACGCCGTGGAGCACAGAACCCAGAGAGCCTGGGGCTATTGGGCAGCATACCAATGAAATAATGAAATACAATGTACCAGTGGCTGCATCAACATTCTTCATTTTGGCCCATCCCCACCAATTTGACTGTACATGCATTTTCACTGAGCTAAAATCCTTAACACAAGTTGTTTTAAAATGGCCATGCACTTCCCCTTTTGCTGTGGCAAATTATGCCATCATAGATGTAATCTTACCCTGGTTATCCGCTAATGTGAAGAGCCCAACTGGATATCTTGATTTTACATCAGTGGTTGATCTGAAAACAAGGGTGCAAGTAGGCATTTTTAGACCCCAACTTTGGGAGCAGTCCCGCGCATGTTTAAACAGAAAGAGGTCCCACAACTTCTCACATTCCCCAGCCAGCAGGAGATTGTTAGCTGGCCTTCAGGAGACCCCTTTGGGTGGCCTTCAGTGGAAAAACATACCACTAATATGGGGCCGCAATGGGCCGGACACGACTTCGCAACTAACAACAACAACAGTGCTCACTCCCCACCCACCATGGCTTTGCAACAGCTTTCATCTTTCTCAAGCGTGTTGGAATGTTTGTCAACCCTCAGAGAGAGAGAGAGAGAGAGAGAGAGAGAGAGAGAGAGAGAGAGAAACATGATGGAAGCTCAAGCACACACACACACCACACACCTGTGGTTGTGCACCGTACGCTCGTGGCATCTGCCTGCCTGCAAGAAGCTTGTCCCCGCTGCCGTGTGGGTCCTTGGGGAGGAGCGCTAAGGCGAGGGTCTCACAAGGCCCTGACCCCTACAAATAAATAGGGAGCAGTGGCTTGTGCCAGAGCCTGGGGGCAGATCACGTCGACATCCTAACAACGGTGGTTGTATCATTTATGGCTTTTGGAGCAGGGCTCGGCTTCATTTCCACCCTGGTTGGCTTCATCCAGTTGGAGTTAACTGAAGTGTGTTGCAGTGCACAACATGGATATTTCTGGAACTGTCCACCGCTGCCTTGCTGGCAGGGGAAGAGTCTTGCTAAAAGGAGGTCCGTACAAGTCTTCCCATACATTCTCAAAACTGGGGACAGGCCGATGGAGCAGCCCTTGCCCCATAGTGAATTCAGCTGGGTGGTGGGCTTGAAGGACAGGGAAGGGGACCCTTACCTAAAAGATGCTGCGCATGACCTCCTTCCCCCAGCCAAACGCCCTCCAGATGTGCTGAACTAATACTGGCTGTTGGCGATGGTCGTTATCGACTGCAACCCCTCTAGTGGTTCTGATTGGTCGTATATGCTTTGTGGTATAATTCGTTCTATTCATCCAACTGTACTCACACCTTGGATTTAACCTGTTCTGATTGTGTTCATGTGATTCTCACTTGGCTAGGAGACAAGAAAAAAAGAGTAAGTACTGCTAATATTGCTGGAGTTCGTTGTTTCTGGTTGCAATGGAAACAAATACTGGTAGAGGGTGGAAGCATTCTGGCATGGTGTTAGATTTGGTATTTCTGGCTTTGCTAAACGGTGAGAGGGAAGTCTTGTTTATTCAACCTGGACTGAGAGTCTTTGGGGAACTGTCTCTTTTCCTTATCGATATCCTGGATCTGCCAAAGAGGAGGAGCTCTTTGTAAATTGGGCCCATCTGAGCAACCTGCATTCCCTCCCAGTTGACCCCAAACCAACTGCTGGGGACACAAAGCATACCAGCTCGCTATGAAAGGTACCATTTGCACCCATCCTAGTCCCTAATGTAGCACACCCAAGACCAACTCCACATGCAGGTGTCTGAAAACCCAACCTGGGGGGCATATGTGGCTGGAACAGGCTCTGCTGCCCACTCTTCAGAAGATGCAGCAGCGTGACCCGGGACCTGTGCACAGGTGTGGGAAATCGCACACTCCCCCCTACTCCCCCTTCCCTTGAAACAGTGCTCTTTCCCCTTGATCCCGCTAACACACTTTGCCAACTGTCTGAGAGCTGTGACGAGATCTCTTGCACCTGACCTCTGCGCCATCTCACCTCCTGCTGTCCAGGGGCACAGGCCTCCCGAGTCATCGGTCAAGGGCAAGGCCGAGCCTTCTTTTCTCCCGGTGCCTTCCTGCCATGCCCCCTGCTGCCCCTCTTTCTCATCACGCAGCAGGTGGCCAAGGGAGGGTGGATGGTTCTTGCCAGCAAGCAGGTGAAGGGCTGCACAAGGCTTTTCAACGCAACCACTGTGTTGAAAAGCCCATCGCCTGTTTCAAGGAGCGATTTCCTTGCTCTTCGTTTCCATGTCTGTGTGAGGTTTAAATGTTTCCTTGAGCATAGAATGATTCCTTTTGCTTTAATTCGATGTATAGCCCACCTTTCTGCCTGAATGCTTTTTTACTATAAAACCACAAAAATACATAATACAAAGAGCAGTGCAGGCACACTCATTGCACACACACACACACACAAGTCAGGCAAATATGCAGCTTAAGAGAGCACAGACATGAGCCTCTGAAGCCCTGGCTGTGCAAACAATGGGAAAACCCCATAGATGGCAGTGCCTGTTCTCCAGGGCTCCCTGTACATGAAAGGAAAGGAACACATTTTGCCCAACCTTCCAGATGTGTTAGGCCATAACTCCCATCATCCCCAGCCAGGACGCTAGCTGGCTGTGGACCAGTGGAAACGTTTTCCAATGCATCTGGAATGCACCTGTTTGGGGAGTGTAAGAGCATAAGAAAGGCCTGCTGGCCTTCAGGACGGCCCAGTCCATCCAGCCCAGCGCTCCGTAACACACGGCAGCAAACCAGCTCCTGGCAGGTCCCTCCAGCAAGATGGGCGCAAGGCCTCCCGCTGCCCAGGCTCCTCAGCCACTGGCGTGTGCAGGCATGCTGCTTCTGCTGAAGGAGGTGGCCCGTGGCCAGCAAGGCTGGCGGCCATGGATAGCCTCCTCCCTCGTGAATCCTTCCAACCCGCCTTGAAAGTGTTCCGTCACCAGACAAGAGCGTATTGGTCGCACGACAATATTTTACACAAGCTCAAGCGAGTGCAGGGGAGCTGATCCTCAGGGTTTGACCATGGCTCTGGCCCCGTTAGTTGGACAGGCTCAGGCGGGAAGCCACTTGGAAGCAGTGTCTCCCAGAAGGCCTTGCACCAAGGAGCTTTGTGCAGGCCAGGCGCACGGGCCGAGGGGGGTGCGCATGGTCTCTACTCGTGGCTGCAGGCTGCAGAAGGTCCTTGCCCCGTGACCGCAGCTGGATGTGGCCCTGTGCAAATGTCCTGGCACCTCGTCCCACTTTGAATCTCGGGGGCTTGGGACAGGTTGTAGAGTGCGGGTCACGGGCCAAGCCGCCTGGGCCAAGCATTGCCCCGAGGTGCAGCCAGCACTGCTCACTGCGTGGAGGGGGTGGAGAGCGGTGGCAAAGGGCCTTTGCGGAAGAGACCCTCATGATGCCCCCGAGGAGCCCGGCGTTCCCCGTGGCAGAATGCAAACTCAGCGTGTGGGGGGCTGCCTTGGGGAAGTTGCCGTCCTTCTCTGGGCAGGGCGGGGGAAATGGGTTTTCTTTCAGCTGCTCTGAAGACATCCGGAGCCCCTTCCTCTCTGTCCTCTTTCTTTTGCCGATTACGATGCGTGCTAGTTTTGTGCAGCGGGAGCAGTGGGACTTGGGCTGCAGCTGCTGATACCAACCTGGAAAGCTCTTTGGTCTATAACCTGCTTTGCCTTGGACGACCCCCTTGACTCTTTGGGTTGGCTTCGACCTCCGTCGCAGCTGCTTCTCTCTGCTATTCCATTTCCGGCTGGGAGAGGCGGCACGGGTGCTCGGCTTCGGCCCCTCGCTCCACACTCCAACAGGCCTCTTCACCATCAACACATTTCCTCGGCCGTCTGACCTTTTGTAACCCAACCAGGCCAAAATAATGAGATTTTGAGAGACCCTCCAAATTTTGCAGGTATGAAGCTTCTCTTGAACCGAGAAAAAAAAAAAGAGTTGAAAGCAGCCGGGGATTGTGACACTGAATGGCTGATTTTGCTGTGAGCTCTTTCTGTGACCGTGTGCCAAATCCCACAGCTGCCTCACTAATACATCGGAGTTTATTTTTGGTTCTTGTTGTTGCCCTTAGGTCTTGCATGAATACCAACTAAAACGCTGCCTTCCCTTCATTGGTGCATTTGATCTTGTGGCACTCCCAGGGGCAGGTAAAACCCCCAAACCAAGCCTAATCTAGACCCTGACGGCATGGCCTAACATCAGCAAATAATCTGCTGATATGCTTCAGTATTGCCTATCCCACTCTCCTCCTCCCCTCCCTCACTTCTCCTCTTTCTTTATTGCGTTATTCTTACGATCATCATCATTGTGCTTTTGATAAAACCGCCTTCCAAAAGGCTCACACTAAAAATGCCAACTGAACCGTCCCAACGCTAAACAAAATAACATACTACCAAGACCAAAGGTCACAGCAAGATCATTGCCAAGAAGACTTCGCCCCGCCATCTGCTTTCAACTCTCAATTAATTCGAGGACCTTCCCAGTCCTTGGTTAATGTACCCAACCAAATATGTGTCTTGCACACACGCGCACCAGTGGCACGCCCAACATCTGTTAACAGGAATGTTCTAGAAAACCTGCATGACCTGGACTTCTGTTTAGATCCCCAACCCTGGAGGGCAGCAATATTTTCGCCCTCCGCTTCCCGTATGTGCATGGTGCATGAACATTATCTAAGCTAGATTCTTGTTAAAGCAAAACAAAAACATGCTATGCAAATTATACAGCTGTCTTTTAAAAAACCATTATGGTGCTACTGAATGTACTTCAGATCTGTCGGAATTGCATCTCCTTCTGTTTGTACACATTTTGCGGAACGTTTCTGTGGATTATATTCCATCCGCTGTTGTCTGTTTCCGTCTGCGTTCCTTCTTTATTAGCTCCCCTGCGTGTTGAAGAGGAGGCTGCAGCAACCCTCGCCTCATGCTGCATTTCCCTTGTGTTGCAGAACCGAATGCACGAGTCACTGAAGCTCTTTGATAGCATCTGTAACAACAAGTGGTTCACAGACACGTCCATTATCCTGTTCTTGAACAAGAAGGACATCTTCGAGGAGAAGATCAAGAAGTCCCCATTAATTATCTGCTTTCCGGAGTATACAGGTAGGTAAAATAGCCTACCTGGTCTCGCATCCTGGTTCCACCATGCCTGGGCAGGTGCCTGTGGGAATCCTGCCACAAGAACTTGTGTGTATCCGAAGCCCCACACACTTACATACACTCATGTTCCTTAGTGACAGAGAAGGATGCTTCTCCTGGGCGGCCACTTAGGAACCGCCAAAGAAAGAGCTTGGCAATGGCATAACGTTTGCCCAAATTGATTTGTATGCAAAGGTGCAAATTGAGAAATAATTAGGATCTTTAAATATAGATATGGAACGTTTCACCATGCGAGGGGAGACTGAGGTGAGGTGAGCCAGTTTCTTGCTGTCCAGGTGCATAACTGCTGGCAGGCGACAGTTCTTTGTCTTCAACCAGCTTTGAAAGGACAGTCCTTCAAACAGAGGACCTCTTCATGCAGAGGTCCACCCTAATGTACCTAGGAGCCACAAATAGCTTCACTCCACATGAATCTGGCTGATCCCCTTGTAAAGGTGTCACAGTTTGGTGTAGGCTTCACCAGACATTCTCAAGAATGAGCTAAAGAAAAGATTTGATGGCTTTATGGAGAATTGGATGGATGGGGGGCTGTTAGTCATCATGACTTGATGGAACCTTCATGTCCATGCCAGCCTATCTTGGGGGTGGCCACATGTCCGCTTCTAGAGGATGGCCCACTCTTTGAAGACTGTGCATTCCAAGTGCTGTTGAAATGTCCAGAACCATACAGGAACTGCTGTATAAAGGTCAAGAACCATGCAAACCTGGGAGAGCAGAAACCCTGAACTTGGCCATCACTAGGTAGCACAGGACATCCATAACTCTTAGCATAATCCTTTCTAAGTGTGTGTCTATAATAGGAGTTAGCATATGGGCATCTTATGCAAATCCACACCTTCTTTAGTCCCCTTGCTTGAGGATGCATGTCCACCTTTTGGAGATGTGGAGGTAGTCACCTTTCAGGTTCTAAGCGCAAATAAGAAGGGAAGAGTCTTATGAACACCCAAAGACCTATAGCTGCTATTTTTGGAAACAGAATCCCAGGCAATTGCATCTCATGTGCCATCAGGAAGTTGAGTTTTCTCCAAGACTGAGGAGGGATTTAAAAAGGAAGATTCCGAGCAGAGAGCTTAGAAGGCATTTCCAGAGTTCACAGCTCTGGAAGGATGTATAAGGTATAAATACTAAATCTGAATTGTTCTCAGCTCGGGTAGGGTTGCCATCTTTGGGGCTGTCTCTTTATATAACAGACTGAAACACCAGAGTCACTTGAGGGGGTGAAGTGTTGTGTCTGGATGCAGGAGACACATTTTCAACCCCTCCTCAGCCTCAACTATTTGGATCGCCTTAGATAAACACCTTTCTGTCTGCCACAACAGGGATATTGCACTGCTAACCCACCACTCCACAGAGCGAGAAGCAAGGCACAAATGTAAGACCTAAATACAACCCAACTGGTTCTGCTTCTCCCAACGTAGAGTAACAGTGATGGTGGAGCATCTTCAGTTGGACTTCTGCTTGCCATACAACTAACAGTGCATAGAAAACCCACTGGGGGGGCGGGGCGGAGTAGGGATCTAAGTTTCAGGTGGCAGTTTTGCTCCCTAGGAGTGTCGTTGAACTTGGGGGAACTTACTTCTGAGCAGTCATGCCTGGGATCGCACTGTCCGTTACATAAGCCTTCTCAAGTTTTCGTACCGACACAATAATGCCATCAATGCAGACGGCTGGCTACATGGGGAAATTAATTAGGCTCCTGCTCATAAGGAGCTTGTAATGGTTTTCGGATTGTGTTCAAGGAACCTCAGAGTTACTGGGCTTTCCACAAATCAGAAAGTCCTTATTTATTTATTACATTTATAGTCCACCTTTCCCCCATTGTGGGACTCAAGGTGGCTACACACAGTTCCCAGGGGGTCTCCCCTCCAAGCTCAGGCCAGCCCCGGACTTGCTTAGCTTCAGCATGGTGGGTACCTCATGTGCCTTTAGCCCATGCTCTAGAGTGTATTACATACATATATGTATGTAATCATGTGGCCTTCTGCTTCGAAGTCAGGTGATGCGGCTACAGGGAGCTGGTGTCAAAAGCCCTCCCAGTGAGCCAAGAAGCCCGCAGGTCGCCTCAAGCAAGCTGTCAGCCTCCTCTCTCTCATCTGCAGTACCAGCAGAATAGTGCTGACCTTCTGGCACAGTGTGTTTGTTACAATTCGTGAGAGCCACACACACCTTATGCAGGCCGCAAGAATGCAGGTAGTGGGCTGTGTTTCCTAAATCTACACTGGTCCTGTACGGTGAAGAGGTAGGATCAGGAGAGACGCTTACAGGAAAGGACGTGGCTGCTTCCCCCCGCCCCCTGCATCTGTCCCACTTAAAATCACTTCCCAGAGCAAGCTGCTCTTGGCTCCAGGAGGACAGCGTCTTCCACGTGCAGCCTCCCCTTGCCTTGCAGTCAGTTTGCCATCTCATCCTTCATGCAGCAAACCCGCAGAAGGTTTCAAGATGGAGCAGGCTGCACAGGTTCTCCCACTTGCTGGCATGGGACACCCCCATCCGGAAGTAGCCTTCAGCCAAAAAAAGGCCCAGGTTAATTGCAATTCTTGCAACCTGTAGTTTGGTGCATGAGGTCGCATGAGCATCATTTTAAAAACATCAGGAAATGAGTATTTTTACGGGCATGTTCTTAAAAGTGCACATTCCACAATGAACAGCCTATTTCCTCCTCATCGGCCACATCTTGAAATGCATGTTTTGGACAAAGGCGATCAGCACGTGTGCAGAATGTTGGACACGCATCCTTGTGCAAGCAGGTGTTTTCAAATGCTTGTACAAGTTTGGGAAATTGTGAATGCTTCCATTGTTGCTCACATTCGCCTTCAGGATTGTGAATGCAACATATTTGTATGAATGAAATTCTTGCGCATCTCTGGAAGGATAGCAGTGCAATTAAGAATTAAGGCCACTACAGCAGAATTTAGGGGGATTACGGGAAACCATGCTTGGAATGTTAGCTTTAGGGGGCTGAGGTCTCACTCATTGCAGAAACCCAAACACTGGTTCTCCAAGACCCATCTTTTCATCTCTGTATTGGATGGGCCCACTTCCAAGTCGTTTTGGTGTATGGAGTTTCTTGTGTGTTTCAACAGAGGCTTTTTCTATTGCAGGACCGAACTTATTCACCGAAGCCGTGACTTACATCCAGTCCCAATATGAGAGCAAGAATAAGTCATCAAACAAAGAGATCTATACACACATCACCTGTGCCACCGACACCAACAATATCCAGTTTGTCTTTGATGCTGTAACTGATGTCATAATTGCCAACAATTTGCGCGGATGTGGACTGTATTAAAGCTGCCTGCCTTTCCTTCCTCCCCCCCCTTCCTCCCTCCCTTCCTTCCATCTGTCCGTCCGTCTCCTCCGCACCTTCTTGTCTCTCTCCCCTCTCATCTCTCTAGAAAGCAATCTCATGGTCAAGTTCATAGATGACTTTTCTTTCACTGCCCCATGTCAAATGTGGGTCTATTCCAGCAGCTCTTTTTGAGACTGAAAGGCTGCAACAAGCCTTATTTCCTGGTTCCACATTTTCCAGTTCAGTGGTTAAAATGGTCTTGCGAAAGTAACATTTATACTTCTTAGGTGTGAATCCACAGGGATTTCTTAACATCCCGTATGTTGCGGGAGAAATAGCCTCTCACAGGTCCTGTTAAAATGGGGAGGAAGAAATTGCCAAATGACTGCCTCTCTGGAAAATCCCGATCCCTTTTCCCTTTGACAACGTCCCCTGTGGTTTTGTTTTTAGAGTGACCGCCAGTATTCCAACTAACACAGTCGAGGCTGAACAGAGCCCCTAAGTGTTTGTATTCATAGAGCCAGAATGCATTTTTAAAGTAACGAGAGCAAGCTGGTGCTCAAGTATTTGGCACTTAAGGGCCAGCCCTTGGACAGGACAGAAGGAACAGGTTGAGGCTCCGGCCTGCGAACGGGAGCTGCTGGCAGGATGCATGACGTCACAGGGGCAGGCACCCGTCTTTCCCCTTCTCCGTTTGGAGAGAGACCTGGAGAGCTTCTCTCAGCTCCTTCCCAAACCCTGGCAGCCCCCCAGGTCGGGCCTGTGAGACTCTGCAGTGGACCCCAAATTGCTGATCCGCTCCCCTCTGATGTTTCCCACTTAAAATCCTGCCTCCCCCAAAGCTGTGCTTTGCACTACAAGCCAAAATGTGCAGTACTAGGCAGCCAGGTATTTTGCCCTGCAGGGCAAATGGCATCTCGGGGAAGGTAGTTTTCAGTCCGGGGGAAGTGGCTCAGCGGGGAAAGGTGTGCCGTTCCCTCTGCAAGGGCAGCAGTCCACCTCCAAATTGGCTGACTAAAAAAACTGAAAATGGCAGAAACTCCTTCTCCTGGATCTCCTCTTGCCTTGCACCCATCTTAGCCAAAAAGTCAAATTTTGAACCCCAGGATGAATAAATGGGAAGCTTTACCATTGCCCATTTCTTTGCCTTTTACCAGTTCATTAAGAAGAGCAAAAGCTCTGCAGACGCATTTGAATACCTGCTTGGAATCCAAGGTTAAACGAGTCACATCGTATGGCTTCGATTGTGGCCTGCAAGGGTTGCTTGGTGTTTAATGCTGGGGCAAGTGACTGGCTGCCAGGGGCAATTGCACGGAAGCGCTGTCAGCATCTGCTCATAGAACAGGCTCGGCTGCAGAAGTCGCTAAATAGTCCAGATTAATTTGGCAAAGGGCTTTGCCAACTGGGCTCCCAGGAAGCCCATGAAGCCTAAAGGAGGCCCCTGACAGTGCCAGCTCCCGCCCTTCACGGGCTCTCAGGCAAAATGCCCTCAGTGGGGCCCCTCTCCATCAGCAAGTCTGCCTGCTCACCAGCATGGCCGCCAATTGCTGCATATCTCCTCCTCCTCCTCCTCCTCCTCCTCCTCGCCCATCATGAAGGAAGGGCTTCTCTGCAAAAAGTTTGCCCCCCTATGCCCAGGGGTTCTTTGCCCTGCCCTTCCAGGACGGCAATGGCAAGGCACAGGGTGGGCCACCCTCGAGCTTGTAACATGTCCTGCCCTCCATGCAGAGGAGGGCAGGACACACTCCAGCGGAGCCAAGCTCAGGGAGCCAAGGTTCCATTTGGATGCCAGGAAGCACTTCCTGACAGTCAGGACCCCAAGGGTGTGGAATGGGCTTCCACGAGAGGTCGTTGAGGCCCCATCGGTGCGGGTGTTCAAGGATAGGCTGGACATGCACATGGTGGGCATGTCGTGAGCGGAGCCGGCTGGAGCCAGAGGTCAGACTAGATGGCCCGGGAGCCCCCTTCTGAATCACTCTGCTTCTGTGTTCCAATGTCCCCAAGCCAGCAGCCCTTTCAAAACACCCACGGTGTGCAGAAGGGGGGCATCTGCTGCATTCAGCACCTTCATTCCTCCCCTCAGCCTTCAGGTGGCCACAGGGGCCCAAATGCATCCAGGGGAAATCAGCTGGGCTGGCACAGTGCTTCAGAGGGCCGGCCTGGTTCTGGGACCCACTGGGCGATGTGGGGTCAGCCGCTGCCCCTCAGCCCAACCTACCCCACAGGGTTGTTGTTGCTGTGAGGATAAAATGGGGTGGAGGAGAACTCCGTAAGCTGCTTGGGGTTCTTTGCAGGAGGAAGAAGGCGGGGTGTGAATGAGTCGGAAGGAGGATGGCAGGGGGAGCGTGGCGGGTGTGACCGCAGCGTCCGCAGCAGCAGCTCAGACTGCTGCAAGTTAAAGCAGAGAGAGAGCGAGCGAGCGAGCGAGAGAGAGAGAGAGAGCGAGAGAGAGGTGCTTCCTGCTGGTAAAAGGAGAGCAGGTGCCCAGGTGGAGGGTGGTGAGGAGGAACTAAGCGCTGGCGGTGGGAAGAGAAGGAGAAGGGGCATTAACGGTGAGGAAGGAAACGGAGAGCACGGGGGCAGTAAAATAGGGAGCCCCAGAGGCATCCTGACCGCAGACCTAGGAGGCTTGGCAGTGGCCCCGTCTTAGTGTGTGCGACCCCTTCAGACGCCGCCTTCTTGATCCGGTACCTGTAACAGTCTCAGACACCACTCTGGAGCCTCGGTCCATTTGCGCGATGGAGGAGCGGGCTTGTAGCCTCCCCCTCCACAGGGTGCCTGAAGAGTGGGCAAGCCCTCCACGGGGGGCTGGCGAGGCGTCCCTGGCCTGCCCCCCAGACTTCCCGGCTCATTTCCCATCCTGTGCCGAAGTCCCCTTTCCACTGGCAGCACAGAGCGGAGCAGGCATGTCCAACGTCTGCCCACCATTTGGAAGAAACGGGAGGCCATAAGGGGGGCCGAGCCCACTGGTGCTTCCTGGAGCATCAGGGGGACGTCTGCACATGTGGGGCCATGCAGAGGAATGCGAGCTGGTTCTGCCAGGTGACTCTTTGAAAAAGAGGGCTCTGGGAAAGGGGGTTCAGGGGCTTCCCAGGAGTTACCTGTGTGGGAAGGAGGCGTTCTGCCGAGGCATCTGTGCAGCCCGGCAACACCTCGTGGACTCCTGTGCTTCGACCAACCCAGGCCGCATTCTCTGCCCCCACAGGGGAAATTGTACCATGTGAGCCAAGACACGTGGATTCCCTCACCCCTTGTTGCTTTGGTTGCACTGCCAAGTGTGGGGCAGAGTCAGCCTCGCTGCGCTTCTGAACAAGCTCTTGCCGGCATTGTGAGTTTGCTGCAGTGTGTCCTACTTTTGCCGTAAATGCACAACTTCCCTTGTGGGTGGCCTTGACGTCAACCCCGTGCGCTCCCATGTCTCTCCCTTACACACGACAGGGATCTTGCGACTTTGTTAAGCAGGCGTTGTGTGTTTGCACAGGGCTCCAGCAGTCCTGGTAGTCCCTGTTGTCGTGATCTTTGGACAGACACAGGCATTTCGTAATGGATTTCTGTAATGCAGCTATAGGCATGGGAGCAATCCGTCACATCCACATCTTGCACAGCAGGAGGGGTGTGGTGAAGCTTTGTTCCCACACGTAGGCTTCAACAGGATGGATGTATCTTGAGACGATTGTGTGGCATTGTGCCAGGCCCAGTGCAAAAGCAGTGTGCAGCTCCTCCATTTTTCCTCCATAGCAGGTTCTTTTTCCGGATAAGGAAAAAGACACGAGAAGCAGTGATCAAGTGCAGGAGCTTACACGTTGATAATGATGCAGTCCAGACCCCCTGCAACTTTCAGTGGATGGAGCAAGGCGCTGACACAGTAAGAACCTATCTGGAAGTCCAGTTGTGTGAAAAAGGCTAAAGAGCCACTGAATCTTTGGGGCATACAGAGCGGAGGACATGTGGAAGGTTAAAGCAACTGTGAGAACTCCATCGGCATTCTTGGGGGAATGGAGAAGGAATGAGAAGAACTGTGCAAAAGGACGTTGCTAGGAAAGCATGCCATCTAAAGGCCCGCGTACTTTTGCACAATACATCACCGAGTGAGCTTGTGCACCAGAAATTCCTATTCATGACTTCCCTCTGCCCATGCGTACACCTCCAGCAATCTTTACCACGCATCGACTTCCACATTCATGACTTGGTCAGCTTGGATTTTCTCACACTCGTGCACTCTCCTTAATGCTTCGAGTGTTCTTACAGTATATTAATACATAAAATTCATCTATGCACGGGCCTGGGAGGCAATGCCCAGGAAGTGAGCAACGAGACAAGATTTATGGAGTCCCTTTAATCTGCTCTTGCTGTGATATTATGGCAGTTCAACAAGACTTGGCTCTTTTTTGGCACGACCGATGTACTCATCACCCTCGTAAGGCCATGCCATCAGCAAAACTTAGACGTGTTCTTCTGTTAAACAGCACCTCCAAACCCAGCAACCAAACTCCTTCATTTAGTAACTGCAGGGATTAGTAATCATTTCAGTTGTTTTCTTCCTTTTACCATGGTCTTTCTTCCCCTGTAGCAAGACAGGTATATGCAATTCTTGCACAGCAATAACTCAGTAATCGTGACCAAAGCCATCCTCTTCAGAAAAAGCCAGTGGTTTCTTCAACTTGTATCCCTTCCGCAGCCCATAATATGCACATGAGGGATATGTGTAGCTCATGCTTCAAAGAAGCTGAGATTCAACAGCATGTACTCTAAATTCTGCGCAGAACTACACAACCTCAGCCTCTGTTCTTGTCTTCATTTCTTCCCTTTCTTCCTGGTCTGAAGAGCCACCGACTCCTTTCTTCCGCTCACTGTGCCTCTTGGACACATGTGTCCTCAGAATTGCTCCCCACCAGCTCCCAAGATCTCAGCTGCCAACCCACATCTCCACCCGGGTGAACCCCTCAAAGAGAGCTCGTGTCCCAGCTTTAGCTCTAGCGGGAGCAGCACAGCCATGGTGCAGCGTCCGTGATGGCCATGGCCGGCCAAATAGGCCTGTCTGAGCCAGAAGCAGCACCCACTTCACTAGATCCTTCTGGATGCATTCAGCTAAAATCCCCATCGTCCGCCATCAGCCTGGCCAGTGGCCCTGGGAGGGGATTGGTACTCCAGAACAGATGGGGGAAGGCTGGTCTCAAAGGGGTCCATGCAGGAGTTTTTTAAAAAGTCTCAGGCATGTTGATTTCAGCGTGTGAGAGTTACACAGCTGATCTCCAGGGAATCCATACTGGTGGTAATGCTGCATGAATGCTTGCATTTCAGCTTTCCCCAGCCGGGCGCCTATCCAGGTGCATTGAACTGCAATGCTCATCATGCCCAGCCATCTCAAGGACACCAGCTTGGGGAAGGCTGTAATTAAAGGGAAGGCTGGGTTAGAAGGGGTTCCTTTCATGAGCTAAGGGGGCAAAGCATTGTTAGTATCTCCAACCAGCATGATGTGAAGGTTGTGCTGCTGAAGTCATGCAGGTCTTGATGTGTCCAATACCGAGAAGGGAAGATCTTCACCCATCTTGTCAAAGGAGACAGAAGCAAAATAGGAACAGAACACACCAGGGGTGCAAACCGGACATCCATCTCTGCAATCGAAAGGCATTTTGCATATCAGTGTTAGGATACGCTTGGTCTGTTGAACCATCTCCTTCCCGTTGCTGCTTTTTCCATGTTGCAATCATTGGCTAGGTCTGCAAGATGGAGGATGAGAGCTATGGAAAGCTTTTCCCCCTGCGCTCCTACACAGTCTGTCAGAGATGGACAATCCAGTGGACATGGCCAAGGGCAGAAGAGAACAAAGGCAAAGGGAGAAGGGCTAAACTGCCAAATATCCCAGCATATTTTAGCTAAAAGCTCTTATTGCCGGAAAGCAACTCTTAGCAAAGGCACTGCAACCTTTTGGAATGGGAAAAAGTGGGCAAAGGCTGGGAAACCACCAAAATATCGCCCCTTCACCTCAACTGGGGTGCAGCTGTAAACTGCTCTGACAGCCTTTTATGGCTAAGTGCAAGTATAGGAAATAGTAATAGTAATATTAATATTAATACAATTGTGGCTGTGACTCAGAGCACTATGGGATCCATGCCACTTGAGGCTGCCACCATCGACCACTTAGAATATTCCATAATATTGAAGATTTGGCGGGATTCCCCATATTCCATTCCTCTATGCAAACTCTTATGTTCTTGGCCCACCCTTAAAAGTGCAGAGAGGTCCTTGTCTTTGCTTTTATTTACAAGGCATTTCCCCCAGGAGGTATTTTTCCCTTCGGATTGTTCGGTTGCAATGTTACCACCAGTCGTTTACACCAGTGTGTTGAACCTCTGGATTCCATCGCAGAGAAGCTCCTGGGGCCCAAGAGATGCGGCCAAAGGCAAAAAAGGGACTGGGCCAAAATGCCAGCCAAATTTAGCTTAAAGTTCTTATACTGCCAGTGATTATGCCTTAGGAAAGGCATTTCAGCCAATTAGAATGAGGGAAACTGTGCAAAGGCCAGAATAACACCAAATGTTTGGTGGTTGGGAGAAGGGGGTGGGAAGAGGGGAAGGGGAGTGGCCATCTGTGGAACTGTGGAGGGTTGGATGTGGGCCTGAGCTCGCATCCCTGTCTAATGCGGAACGACAGCCGAGGCCTTGGGCTCCCTTTCACCTGAATCAATAGGTGAACTTCTGCTCTCCAGTGGCCTCCTGGCATCACCTGGGAGGCCAAAGGATCCTCGCTTGTGCTTCCCCCTCCTGCCCTCTCATCATCCCCCATCTCCAGCAAATGCTTAAACCCTTCGAAATGCCTTTCGGAGCAAGATTGCAAGCAGTGGGACAGTCTGCAGACCTGCCAGGAGATCTGCAATTTCCCCAGTCAGTTTGTTGGTGGGAAGGAAGCAGCCAGGGCATCCGCACAGCCCCCTCTGCCTTCTGCAAGGGCTGATTGACATGAGGGCCAAATCCCTGACCTGGGCCACATGCAGCATGGCAGGTGGACTCGGAGGAGATCCATGTGCATTCATGCGTCTCCCTTGCTCGGAATATACGGGCCTGCAAAGGGCTCCTTCCTCCGTACATGACCCCAAGCTGGGTCAGGGCAAAACTCTTCTTATTTTTCTTAATATAGTGTTAATACTGGCCAAACCTGCGTTTCTCTTCCTGCCCACACCCCTTTTCTATCACTCTTTCCCCTACACTGTCTATTTAGAACTGCTTTCAACCTGCACACACGGATTTCTGAAGGACCCCTGAAGCTTGCGAAACTCAACATTTTTCTTTGCCAATTAGTTGCAGAATCTTTTTATTATTTTACTTTTTGCATGTTTGATCAGCCTGAAATGTATTAACTGTCATTTTCTATGGCGTGCAAATGAGTGTCAATCAGTTTAATAGATCATTTGATTCTTATTGTAATAATTTATTGGTTGTCTGTAATGTATTTATTAGTTACCAAATGTTAATAAAGCGCCAGCTCTTTTCTAGTGTGCGAGAGATTCTTGGGGAGGAGTTCGAGGAAACCAAGGTGAGTGTCAAAAGAATCACTAAGGGTGCATTCCTTGGGCCTCCTGCATCGCCAGGGGCCAAAGGATTCCGCCGAGGTCGGCACAGGGGTCTTGCAGTCTCGGTGCCCAGACTGTGATGGCTAAGCCTACCCTGCAAAACCCCATTCACAGCAGGTGCAAGTGCGTGGTGGGGGAAGGGTGCGTGCCGGGGCAGGGCAGGGAGGCAAGTGGGCCGCCGAACTGCGAATTCCTGTTGGTGCCAGGGCTCCTGCCCTCTCTTTCCCCCTCCTCAGTGTTTTGTCTACCGATCCAGAAACAGACATCTAGATAAAAACCCTCGGTGGAAGGTGCAGTGCTGAAAGGGACTGCCACTGTCCTTTGCATTAGGAGGCTTCCACACAGCAAGAGTGTTATTTCTTGAAAACCTCACCTGCCTTCCTGATAACTAACTCATGAAATATCTGTGTCCGTACCTGCCAGCACAGCTGCAATTGCACAGGCCCCGACCTTGAATCAGTCCAAGGCATGACGGACCATCCGGTTATTAACTTTGGTTTGGTTCCAGCCCTACAACAGAGGTAGGTAACCTTTGAATTTGCAGCCGTGAAAAGATTCAAGGTTTGCTCCAATACTGAGCAGTAGAAGAAGGGAGAGGCAAGGCGAGGAGAGAGAAGAGAAGAGAAGAGAAGAGAAGAGAAGAGAAGAGAAGAGAAGGGGCCAGACTATGCTGACCCTTGATACCATCCTTGCTCAAATTTCGGTGGCAAACTTGGTGGCAGTGCATCTGTGGAGAGGTGTGCTAACCAGGGGATTCTTGGGGGCAAAATTGGCCCCTGAACTCATGGACGTTTCCTATCCCTGCACTAGAAGAACGCGATTTCCAAGAAGATCCTCCTCTTTCACACATTGGTTCTCTTCCTCTCCTAGTCTGAAGCAGACTGTGCTTTGCTGTGTATCCAGGTGAAGGCACTTGCCCTGCAAACTGGAAATGGAAACCGGGCTTTGGAAGCGGATGCTGTAAGCCCTCTTCACCAGTCTAGATGGAAAAACAAACCATGGGTGCCCTCAGCCCAGGGCTATTCAAAGGTTATCTGTGGCACACAGCAAACTGTGGTTTGCCATGACGCCTCAGCCGAGCTCGTGTGCTCCTTCACACAAGGCGCTGTGGAACCATGGCATATGCGATGGCAGGAAGCACCAGCGTGGATGGGAAATACCCGTGAGGCTCTCCATGGTGCCTCACCTGGAAGACTCCACACTCCCTCCAGGATCAGAGGCAAGGTGCTGGGAAGCCTGGGCCGGGGGACGCTTTTGCGCCCGGTTTCTCCACAGGTGTCTGGCTGGCCGCACCAAGCAGAACCCTGGACTCCCAGCTGATCCTTCTGGCTCTCCTTGCCACTCACTCTGGGGAGCAAATTGCACATTTCAGCTCAGGAACAGGCTCCGGAGCGCTCAGTGGGGTCAGGTCCCGGACGGAAGCGCTCCAGCCTCAAACCTCTGCCCATCTAGGGTGCGACTTGAACAAGGTAGGCGTGCTGAGCAAAAGGCCTTGCTCCTGCGTTTGGCTGGGGACACAGCTGTTCAAACCGTGCGAAGGCTCATGGCCACACCTGCGGGCTAGCCCTGCCCCCTCCTGTTCCGATGCCCCCACTTGCCCCACGTCAAGCAGGGAGGTCTGGCGATACGCTCCCTGCCATGTCCACAACAGGCAAACACAACACTGTTGCAAACAGCTCTGTGGCCTGACTTAAATAACCCACTGAAATGCAGTCCACGGTCCACCACATTTTGGTAACCGAGGCACACGATCTAAATTGAGAGCCAGTGTGGTGCAGTGGTGAAGAGCGCGGGACTGGGACTCAGGCGATCCGGGTTCGGGTCCCCGCTCAGCCATGGAGTCCACTGGGTGACTTTGGGCCAGTCGCAGACTCTCAGCCCAGCCTACCTCACAGGGTTGTTGTGAGGATACTATTGTGAGGAGGAAGAGCAGAATGCTGTAAACTGCCTTGAGTTCCTTGGAAGGAAAGCAGGTGGGATATAAATGTAATAAATCAATAATAAATAGAGCATTTCTCTGCCTTGCACACACTGGTCTTCCTCTAATTACTTCTGTATGAAAATGCCAAAGCAAAATGACAGTTCTGCACTTAGCATGCAGCTACGCCAAGTATTGCGTCCTTACAGAAGAACATGCGATCTCTGCGTCCATTCTTGGGGTGTTCTTTCTTCACAGTGTCCATCCTGAAACGATGTTATCATTTTGGTTATTGTTCTTTGGGGTGTATTGTGTACCTGTTGATTTGATTCTACAGATTAAATGTGCATCCCCAAAATTTGCTTTAGAAAGCCGAGCCATGAGCAAAGGCTACAAAGGGCATGTAGTGGTTGTGTTGGTTGAAAGGGTGTCTGATGCATGGGATTCCTGAACTCTCACTTCCAGACGTGTCATACCTGTTTTTCGAGGTATGCTGGTTGCTAATCATGGAAATTGATGTGAGATGAGAGTGAGGATTGGTGGATGGTCATTTTGATTCAGCTCTGCTGGGAGGCACCAGGATGGGAAACGCAGGGTTTCCATCAGGCTTAACTTCCTCCCCGCCCTGCCCTGGTCACCTCCTGCATAAACACATATTTCTTCCAAAGGAGAAGTGGCACTTTGAATCAAGCCTTTGGGGTACAGAATTCCCTTTCTTCTAGGCAGATGTATTCAAAGTTCCACGTAGGCATCTTGTTTGTTGTAAGTTCCACTGCATCTATATTTCATGGACTGTCAGGTGCCTTCCATTCACTCAGTTGCCCAGTGACAAAACTCAATCTTTTTTTACAGTTCCTGAACTTGCATTGGTACATTTTTTGTAAATATGCTCTTGTGAAAATGAACAACCCCACATGTGTATTTTCAAGCTTTGTCTTATAGGAGTAAATGCACATCTTCCTTTTTCTGTGGTAGAATCTGTGTAAAATTCCCTAAACTAACAACACTGGTCCGCAAGTCCGTGGACCCTAGAACTCAGAAAACACTGATCCACTGCAAAATCTACAGGCTGGGTTCATAGCCATCCAAACTCCTTCGAATCCCATGGTGGGTTTTTCTGGCAGCCCTCGTCCCCCTAGGGACTTCTGCGTGGAATCTTGTGTACGTATTTGGTGGAGTATCAGGCCCGGGACTTGAAGGGACACAACAGTGGAGAGCTTTTTTATTAGAAGTGTTGTTGATGTCATTTGCCCACAGTCTCCACAAGCGCTGGAGACAAGCTGTTCCTTGTTGCAGTGCAACCCGTTGGAGGGGTGGCCCTGGTCCTGAATGGGCAACGAGGCCCATTGGCAATACGAAAAGGCCTGCTCCAGTTTGTGGCTTTGGGTGAACAAGGTGGCCCAGGCATATGGCCCAAGTTCCTGGGAAATGGATCTTGTTTTCCTGCAGCCAAAATCTAGCGAAGTGTTCTGTGGAATGAGTCGAAGCAGGCCGACGACAGAACTTGCGCTGCATGCTTCAGGAGAATGGGCAGGTGTTTAATGGAGGTGCAGCAGAGGAGCAAGAAGTGGTCCGTCTGTTCAGAAGAACATGGACCGGAGAGGTCCTCAGAGGCTCCCTCGGGCTCTGGCCATGCTTCTCTTGCGACGGGGACGTCGCTTTGGAACCCCGCAGAGCCCGGCTTTAGGCAGGGGGGAGGCGTCCTTTCTCCATGCACCGTTCGGTGGATGTTCTTCAGTGGCAACGAAATTTAGGAAGGTGGCAAAAGCCTGAGAATTGATGAGGTTGACCACCTGCCCACAGGTAACTGGCTGGAGAAGCAAGGCCTGTCCCACGAGGATGCTGAGAAGAGGGAACCCGCGAGCCAAACTGGGTGCCTTCTAATTTTGGGGAGCAGAGAGCGGTAGAGTTGCCAACTTCCCAGCCTGCCTCTGCTGCTTGTGCCTTTAACTTCCTGGTGGCTGTGTGCCCAGTTCCACTGGGGAGACTCTCTCAGGGGCCACATCCCAGTGGTGGGTGCGGCCAAAAGCAACAGGGACACGATCAGAATACCCCAGTGAACAAAAAATGGAGCTTATTTTCGCCTAAAGCTTCCTGATGCTCCTGCTGCCAGTAATGAAGTCTGAGGAGAGGCAGGCTTGGAATGAGGAAGAGCTGCATACGAGCTGGAAAAGAACGACTTCTGGGGCAGTCCCAAAGAGCCCCGGCCTGAGTTGCTGCCCCTCTGCCTCTGCTTTCTGAAACGCCCCGCATCTCCTGCCGCCATGTGTTCTGGTTCCTGTCGGAGCTGCAGGCCTGCACACACCAAGTGCGGAGAAGCTGGGGCAGGTGACGTTCTCGCACCCGTCCTGCCGGAGGGATCCTGCGGGCAGCTGGTTCGGCACTCTGTGTGCAGAGAGCTGGACTGGATGGACCTGGGGTCTGAGCCAGCACGTTCTTATGCTCAAATCCAGGGACCTATGGAGGGTGGGGAGGCCCTCAGCAGGCAGCCCAGTCGCGACTGCCTCTGGTGCCAGACTGGACTAGGTGTTTGATTACACAGGACCAACATACCCACAGCCACTTCCTTGTTCTCACGATTTCCTGATCGGTGACAGTTCTGGTTTTAGGAACACGGCTCTTCTTTAACCATCCCTCAGTGGCTGATTCAGTAGCACTTCTCCTCCGCTAAATCTAACGGCCATGCTCTCTCCTCTGTCTCTCTCCCCACTCTCTTTTTCTCCCCCTCCTTCCTTGCCTGCCTCTTCCTTTTCCGTCCTGGTACGTGCCCCTCTGCAGAACCGCATGCATGAGTCCCTAATGCTCTTCGATTCCATCTGTAACAACAAATTCTTCATCGATACCTCCATCATTCTCTTCCTCAACAAGAAAGACCTTTTTGGTGAGAAGATCAAGAAATCGCCTCTGACCATCTGCTTCCCTGAATACACAGGTATGTGATAGTCCCCATTCGACCTCGCAGGAATCCAGGGAGGCTGCAGCCAGGGACTTCCAGAGCTAACCAAAGGAGCAGTGGACGCTGGGGCCTACGAGGCTGGGTCAGGGTCAGACCCCCAGATTGGCAGTCCAGCTGTGCTGGAGATGGATCTTCCCAAGGGGAGCAAAAGCGCATCCTGGTCGTTGCCTTTCGGTCTCCCACGTCTGCCAGCGGTTGACCCGGCAAGATGGCAGCACAGACCGCAGTCTCTTATCAGTGGGAAGAAGCAAGCAGTGCTTTGCTGAAGAAAGTCAATGAGCAGAGATAAGAAATCAGGCTAGAGCTAGAAACCTGCAAATTTCCACTTAAAAAGATCGCAGCTTGCAGCTCTTGTTGCCTCCAGAGGAGGTCAGTGGCTGCAAGTCAGGGCTGTCTTCATGAAGCTTGCTTGCTTGCTTGCTTGCTTGCTTGCTTGCTTGCTTGCTTGCTTGCTAAAAAATTTTCTAGACCGTCCCATTACCAAAGTCTTGGGATGGTTTAACAATACAAGATGTAAATATTGAAAACATGGCATCCTAAAAATGCAACTAACAATAAAACCCCAGTTAAAACAGTCAGGTCTTAAAACATTGGGAAAATAAAAAGGTTTTGGCCTAGTGCTGAAAAGAATAAAGTGACCGCGCCAGGCGAACCCCTCTGGGGAGCGAATTCCACAATTGGGGTGCCACCGCAGAGAAGGCCCTTCCCCGGGTAGTCCCCCTTCTCATCTCCTTCAGGGAAGGCACCCAAGAGAAGGGCATCTGCCCCAGAACTCGAGGGGCGGGCAGGCACATCTGGAAGGAGATGCTCCTTCAGGTAACCAGGCCCTAAGCCGTTTAGGGGTTAAGTTTGCATTTACTCGGCTCAGGAGATGACCTTGCTGAACTCAAAATGTCCCGCTGCCAGTTCAAACCCGGGATTCTCCTCTGCTTCAGATTTTGGGCTGAACTTCCAAGCATTCCTGCCTCCCTTCCTGAGACCTTGAATGCTGGAATAGGAGCATGCTGGGTCTTCAAAGCCCCGGGAAATGTTGCTTTCCGGGGTGCCCGCACACAGGCATCAGATTCCTGGCTGCACACGCTGCGCCTGGACTGCTGTCAGAAGCCCTGGGTGTCATTTCCAGGGACCAGGGCAACTCCCATCATCCTTACTGTTGGTTGCAATAGGGATGGAGGGCTTGGCAAGCATTCCCACAGGATACCAGCTGCATCACAGCTGCAGATTCAGACTCGGAAGATGAAGGAGGTATCCGTGAGATTGGGGAACATGTGTGAGGATACGGTCCTGGGCCGCAACAGCGGGAATGGGGGGAGAGTATCTCGGGCCAGCGCATTGCTGAGCTGGATCATTCCTGGGAATGGCTCCGATGCACAGCCAGTGGGAGGGGTTTCTGGGGATGAGGAACTCCAAGACGGGGACCAGCCGCCCCTCTGAGCTGAACCCCGCGACAAGGCATCAGTAGGGCTGGCAAAACCCCATCGTCCTTCAAGGTGCACAAGAAGTTCAGGGGCACACCTCCTCGAGAAAAGAGTTCCAGGGAGGACAGAGCGTGCCCTGTAGCGCTGGAATGGCCGCTTTCTGTCAGGTGCCCGCGCCCAGTTTGCTAGCCATGAACACGCACGCTCCACCCTGCAGTGCTTGTGGCCATCCGAACTGCGGCCTTTGCCAGGTGAACACCTTGGGTCGCTTGTTGGCAGGCAAGTCAGGGCCAGGCCTGGGCCCCGGGATCCTCGCCCATTCTCCCAGGGCACCCCCCCCCCCGGGGAGAAAGATACTGGGGAGGATGCTGCATCAGCTCTCCTTCCAAGCTCGATTGCCCTGCGGGGGCCATTTCTCCTCCAAGGGCAAAAAGAAACGGGCAGGGGAGAGTAAATGCAAGCTGCGCGCAGCTAAGAAAGGAGTCGCTGATTTGGGCGATCCAGAGCAGAGGGCAAATAAATGGAAGACCGTCTTTCATTCGGGGTGATTTGGATGAGAGCCGAGTCCACGGAACGGCTTTGCCCTCTGTGAAATTTAAAGAAATCCTGACCCTTTTTATTTTCCCGATATTTTAACAGTGAATTGGTTTTATCCCTGTTTTCATCATCATTATTGCATGCAGTGTGTTGCACGTTGGTTGTTGTATATTTATTTATTTATTTATTTATTTATTAAAACATTTCTATGCGCCCCTTGCCGTAGCCTCGGGGCGGCTCACAACATAATAAAATACACTATAAATTAAAACAATACCAATTAAAATATATACATTGAAATAAAATAAGCCGCCCTGGCCAAATAAAATTCAATGATATTAACATTTAAAATGCTGCTTAAATAAAAAGGTCTTCGCCTGGCGGCGAAAAGCAAATAACGACGGCGCCAGGCAGACCTCTCTGGGGAGCGCATTCCATAACTTAGGCGCCACCGCTGAGAAAGCCCTCCTCCGAGTAACCACCCTCCTAATTTCCTTCACTGAGGGCTCCCGGAGGAGGGCCTCTCCCGCTGATCTCAGGGGGCGACTGGGCATATATGCTTGTTTTGGTCTTGGTTTTTTGTTTTTTGTAAGCCAGAGACTTTTAGTATTGGGAAGGCATAGAAAACCTTTAAATAAATGAATGAATGAATGAATGAATGAATGTGCCTAGATGGAGACAAATGACCAAAGCCCATTTTATGCAGGCTTGTGTCCTGTGCGCCACAACTCAGGGCAAGACATCCGTCTGCCTAGTACGCACAGCCTGGGAGGAAGAGTGCCTCAGACTATACGTCTTCTTCCTGCCATCTCTTTCATTTTATCCCCCCTAAATTCCAGCTTCATGCAGGAGGGAAAGAACCATTGCCCAGCCCACCTTCTTCATACAATGCACAATTTTATGAACCTTATTTAAAAATAATAATTGTACAAAGCGGCTCATCATCTGGATATATTCAAGTTGCCATCTTTAACTTTTACTGCTTTTTTAATGTAAAAGAATAAATGGCCACAGATAAGGACACATATTTTTATATGTGTCATATTCTTGCTTGCTTGCTTTCCCCTCTTTTCTTCATTTGTTTCTAATTGCACTGTATGTGCAGAGTGCAAGATGTGATGGACAGGGGCCACAGAGTCGTGCTTCAAACAGTTTTGATTGCTTTGTTAATACATTTCTAATAATAGTACTATATTTTCAATGCCCTTGGAACGATGCTTGAAAGCATTGGTTTGTTTCTCTCCAGCCGCCATTCCGTGCCATTTTCTGGCCATTCAGAATCACCCTTAGTAATAATCTCCATGGGTCTCTTCAAAGGAAGACTGCATTATTCTCAGGGATTATAGGTCGATATTTATGTATCTATATGTCTTGCTCTTTCTCCTTCGCAGGTCCCAACACGTATGAGGATGCTGCAGCTTATATCCAAGCACAATTCGAAAGCAAAAACCGTTCGCCCAACAAAGAGATTTACTGTCACATGACTTGTGCGACGGACACAAACAACATCCAGGTGGTATTTGATGCTGTCACCGACATCATAATTGCCAACAATCTCCGGGGCTGTGGCTTATACTGACCCCCTCCCCCTTTCTCCCTCCCATCTTGTATAGCAAGCCAACATATTTGGAAACAATCACAAGAGGAAATAAAATGAAATAAAATATTTGAAAAAAGGCAAAACAAAATATGAGTCTCTCACACACATGCACACACACACAAAGACACACACACACACACACACACACACACACACACACACACTTAATAATGAATCGTGCAAGTTGGTAAATAAAAAGGCATAATGAAAACTTATATATATACATATATACATATAAATATGTGTGTGTGTATGTCTATATGTATATATATTTAACAAACAACATGTTTATGTTTAGTTTGCCTCAAAGAGATCTGGATAGAACTGAGGTCCCTGATAAGAATGTAGTCCTTCCTTCCTGCTAAAGAAACCAAAAGGCAAATAATTAAGTGTAAAAGTTGTCATCAGAAAATGCTAAGAAAAAAAAGACCACAAACTATCCGATGAATTTTTCTAAACTGTCTGCCCCTATATTTAAAGCGTGACGTAACCTACGAATTTTAAAAGGAATCAACTTTCTTAAAAAGAAAAAAAAAGTGGTAATGTTATTTTTTAAAGACTTCTTTGTGCATAGGGTGATTTAGGGGAGGGAAAAATCTCTCTTTTTTTCCTGGTTCCTGTGGATTTCTTTTTTAACAGTACCACTTTCTGTGGAAATATTCCATCGTAGTTGTCATGGCGCTGCATCGTTTCCTGTGTTGGGGCTCGATTTTCAGGGTTTCTTGGTTCCGTTCAGCTCTCGCGTGGTTAAAACCCATTCAAATAAATGTTGGTGGTGAACAAAGCGCAGAAAAAGATTAAGACTTGTTTTTCTCCCTGCAAGGAGAGGACAAGACAGCACCCATCTCTGAATAAGTAAAAAGGATCTTTGCTTGCTTGCGAAATGCCAGTTCCTCCCCAGGTGATGCAGGTGGTTGTATCCTGAACCCCGCATAGGAGGGCATGAGAAAGAGGAGAGGCCACCAGCTCCTGAAAGAGGCTAGAAGGCGGCATTGGCCAGTGAATACCTTATTGCCAGTGTCATGTTTCCCCTCTCGACCCACTAAAGGATAATCCAGCTTAAATCTGATTTGGGGGATTCATCCCTTTCTCATCCCGGTTCTAGTTCCTTTCCGCCCCTCCCCAATATGTGTTTGTGTTCCTGCCCAGAGCGCTTCTTTTCTCCTCTGTATCTCTAGCATGCAACCTTCTGCTAATGGCCTCGTTGTGAGCAGCGTGGCCGTCAGGCCCTTGCAAAACGACTTGCCTCTGTGTATGATGTCTTGAACTGTCGGACTGTTGGCTGGGAGTTTCCATAGGTTGCTGTAAAAGCGGGTTTTAGCCTGAGCTTGACATTTAGCACATTAAAAATAAAAAGAGATTCAAAAGGGGAAAAAAGAGATTTTTTAAAAAAGGCTTTCCCTGTATGCTTTGCAACTAAGAAAAGAGAGGAAAAACCTCTCCTTTGCCCGCTGCTTTGTTTAAAACACACAAACGGAACATTCATGGATACGTGCACAGAGCATTATGGAACCATGCCAAGAGTGGCGTTCTCTGCCCGAGGCTGTTGTGACTGGGAGTCGGCAACGGCGGGGTAACAGGTTGGAGGATGAAGTTGTGGGTTCGTGGAGCACACGGCATAAGAAACACCATGTAAAGTCAGAATCCTAAAACCTCTTAAAGCAAGGGTGCCCCCACCCTTCAGATAAGTCGCCATGTCGATCTGCTCCAAGATCAGCCTGAAGAATCCTGGGGCTGGATGCCCACTGCATGGGGCACCTGACCTACGTCTGTGGGGCAAACAGCAAAGAATAGGGGAGTCTGGGGCTCCCAGCCCTGCCTCCCAGCCTCCCCCTCCCCTAATATTCCAGGTGCTGTTTTTTGTCCATGGGGAGTGGGAAGAGAGGGGGGCAGATGTCTTCTGCTCCTGCTTCTTTCTCAGTTTAGCTGTTCCCTGTAAGGGTGACTTGGCAGTATATTTAGGGTTTAAAAAAGAGGATCAGTAGAATCCCACCGGGAAGCATCCGTGGTTATCACCCTACTTTCATCCTTGCGATATGCATTCTTGCCTGCTCCTGACGGGCATCCAGGGGTGTCCAGGGAAAAGCTCCCAAGACCCTCTTGCGTACATGATCGCCAGACAGAGTGCGGCTGTACAGCGGGCCACCCACCCCGCGAGGGGTGCATCTTGCTTTCTAGGTTCATGATGATTCCTCGCTCTGAATTGTCTCGTTCACTCTCTGGATTTGTATTAAGTAAATACACACGCACGCACGCACGCACACTCAGTGGTCACTGGCCCCAGCTGGCCAAAATTACGTAAATGCCCTTTGTTTTGACTAGTTTGGTTCTGAAGGACAGGCATATTACATACCCGGTTTGTTTCCCTCTCGCTCATTTTCTGTCTCATATTTTTTAAGCAGATTAGTTTGGGTTGGGAGGGTGTTATTTTTTTCCACTCTGAATTTTATTTTTTTAATCTTCTACGCTCCCCTGTGAATGCTTTTCTTTGTAACACTTAACCTGCACCCAACCCTGCGTCCCCCAATCCTCTCATTTTGTGGGTGGTATTTCTCTCTCTCTCGCTCTCTCTCTCTCTCTCTTTCATGTGGGGATGTTCGTGCTGCAAAAACAAACAAAAAAACCAAGAAAAAACAAGAAAAAAAGAAAATGATCTAAAAAAAATAAAAATGCACACAAAAAACAACAAAAAGTAAAAAAAAAACAAAAAAACAAAATCGAATGTAGTGTTTACATTATTTAAAATGCCACCATTTCCGTGATCGACCCTTTTGTCATTTCTACTTTGATTAGCAATCAGGCATTGTCACAGTTTCACTTTTAAGAGGTACCTTTGCTGGAAAAAGCCAATTATACCTATTTCAACTAAAAACTGAATAAAATAAAGAGGAAAATCTAAAGAATTATATATATATACATATATATACATATAAAGTTTGTGTATATATATATAATTATACATCTCTAAAAGCGCCAGGTCTTTCTAAGCCTTTCTATTACCAATCGGTGAGGTTTCTGTGATCTATTAGACACTGCCAATTTCTTTCTCTGACTAATGGAAAAATTCATGTGTAGCTTAATAAAGAGAATGTTTGTCTGTACCATCAAGGCTCTTCCTCTCTCACCTTCCAGTTCCAGACTCCGGGTGTACTATGGCCATAGCTAAGCCGCATGAAATGGGTGTCCAGGTGGGATGGGTGTCCTTGGTCCTGGGTAAAGGCTCTGCTCCCGCTGCGATGGGTGTCTCTCCCGCTGGAGCCAAACCTGCAGCATCAGCTGCTTCTTGCCAAGATGACCAGGGCGCGTCTCGGGGGGCAGAGCAACGAGGCTGACCAGCTCGCCAGGTGACAACCCTCCTGCTCCCCAGCCTCTGCCCGCCCCCCCCCCCCCAGCGTGTCCAGTGGATTAACACGCACCTGCGCACCTGCAGCCAGCGAGGTGGGGGTGAGAGAGACAAGGTTCAGGGCCCACCCATGCGGGTGCACCGTGTTACTTCGGGCAGAGTCGGCTTGTGAACAGGCCGCAGGCAAATAGCAGCTGGCCTCTCCAATAGGGCTCCTGGCTCCACTTTCCAGGTGCCATCCGTGGTGCTGCCGAACTCCCCCACCAAAGCCTTCTTTAAAATCGATCCCGCACCAGGGAGAGATCCATCAAAGTTCAGACTGAAACGTGGAGCGGATCATCCCGTTGGCTGCTGGAAGGTGCCATCGTGCAAGACCATGGGCAGGAGAGCCAGTGTGGGGATCAGAGGAGCCCCCGGGCTGGGCAGCCCCCCCCCCCCCCGAAATGGCTTGCTGCTGTTTCCACTGATAGGCAGTGGAAGAAAAGGAAAACCTTGAAGCTGCACTCATACCGAGGAAGAGAAGGGGGCATTGTCGCTACTGGAACAGAGCACTGCAATGTATTGCAATACACTGCTGCACCAGAGCAGCCAGGCTTGGCTTGGCTTGGCTTGGCCTGGCCTGGCTTCGTTTTTCCCTTCCCTTCCCTTTGCTTCGCTTCGCTTCCTTTTGCTTCCCTTTTTTGCTTCGCTTTGCAGCAGTACAGAGATTCCAACACCCTTGTGATTTGACTTTCCCACTGAAGCTTTGAGGGAATAGTAAAGACCTCCAAGGGAGCTTTTCCTGCTAAAGACTTCCCGAATACTTTCCCTCATGAGGAAAACCGTTGGAAGAGACACTAAAGGGACCAAACAGTTCTTTTCAGCTGCCTCCATGAGAAAAACCCTTTAGGTGGCTCTGATGGAGCGATGGCATGAGCTCTCTTCTGCTCAGACCGAACCTGCCCTTGGGTTTCAGTGAATATGTCCAACCTCTGCAAAGGATCGTCAGCTTTATCATGTGCACCACGGTAACATAGTGAAGTGCGCCTTTTTCTTGCTTACTCTGGGTTCACTTGCCTTGTCTTGTCCCTGATTTATTTACTGTTCGGTGGAGCGCCTTCTTCATGTTCCTCCTTCTCAGCTGGGAGCCTTCCCCAGGCCTATGCAGAGACGCTCAGAACGGAACCAGACCCCTTCTTTGATGGCTCGCACAGCATGTGGCTCAGTAAATCAAACAAGCATCATTTCTCACCCTCGTCTCTTCTAAACTTCCCCAGGCTGGTATGAGAGGCAGGCAGTTTCGCTCGCACGTGCTGCAGATCCGTTTTTTAAAAGCAATCATTGAGCCCCAAATCAAGCAACTTGTGTCAGCGCAGATTCAAGAAGTCCGCCAAGATTGCACAGAAGTGCAGAGCTGGAGCGGGGGGGGTTGTCAGCCATCCAGGCCAACCTCCTCCTCCTCCAGGCAGGAAATCCAGCATTGGGGCATCTCCAACAGAGAGCTTTCCAGCCTCTGCTTAAAGGTCTCGGGGAACCAACTGACCTTAAAGAATGAGTCGCACAGCTGCAGTGCCTCGACCAACAAGGCATGTCTCCAAACATTCAAGCAAAATTTACCCCCCTTTAATCTAAGCCCATTGGACTGGGTTCTGGGGCAGCTGAGTAAATGTCTCTTGCAGCTTTTGCGGATTGGTCCCATGCCTGGCGTGCAACTGGGCAGCCAGTGGGCATTGAG